CCGACGATGGGATCTAAATGTCAGCAGGCAGGAATGAGAGAGATGGAGCCTGCTGTCCACACCTGACCGGAACCTCTCTCTGAAAGGTTAAGCAGAAGCAAGGAGAGGTGTTGGAATAAACCGCTCTTTGCCAGGGTGGGAAGGGCATTCCCCGACTGTAAATGTTCACTCCCTGTAAACAGGATGATCTTGGCCGGCTACAAACAGGTCCCCCCCCCTTTTCATTGACTCTCTTTACTTGGGCTTGGATAGTAGTCTTATTAAGCCTTTTTTCCTGTTCACCAGGAAGCTCTTTTTATGCACCCGGGGGGGGGGAGACTCGAGGGCTGCATCAGCTTGTACCTCCTTGTCTCTTTGAAAGCCACCATGCAGATGTCCCTATGTGGGGGGTTCAGAATTTGTGGGTGGGAGTGCAGTAGGAAAGGCACGGAGTTCCTCCTTTTTGGTCGAGACCATCCATAGTCTTCTCTGTCTTGACCCATGACAGCTTGCCTGGAAGTTCTCCTCAATGGATTCAAGGATGGCTTGGCGCCTGTCCTCTTAAAACCCACCCCATGACAAAGGCCTCTGTTTCCTCCTTCCTTCAAGAAAATCTTGTTGTGTTGGCAATTCTTGGGGTCAGAATCCTGCACAACTCCGTGCCTAAGCTGGGAAGGGAGGGTGAGATACTGCATGGGAGAAATTGCTGTCTATCTGAGCGAGCCCTAATAGAAAACATATTGCACTGAGCTGTTGCCATGGTAATAATCTAGGATGTCCCCTCCTTTTTTTTAATTAATGGGGAATTTTCCCTGGTAAATAAAAGGAAACTCCCAAATGTAGATGCTTATCAAAGCCGAGCTTTGCAGCTACACATTGCATTTATGACTCGAACGGCTACCAATTCAGGGACATTCCCTTGATTGTCTGTCTGAAGCCACATTCGCTCAGTGAGAGCTGGTAAGGCATATACGGGTTGGTCCCAGAGGTTGGGGTGGGAGACGTACTTGGGGTCTAAGAAAGGGACTCAGTGGATAGCCCAGTGGTTTAGGTATACTGGTTGTGGAGCCAGCGGTTGGGTGTTCGATTCCCCCACTGGCCTCCTTAACTACAGTTATTATATTACATTATGGACCTTTTTCCCTGTGAGGGAAGCCAGCCCCATCGGTGTCCCATACAGTGTGCGTATACTTAGCTCTTTGGCTCATAGTGGGACAGTCAAGCAGAGAATGATTGGGGTCTGTGTGTGTGTCTGTAATGGTGCAGGGCAACATACGTCTAAAAAACTATGCTGGAAAACCACCCGCCACTTTTAAGCTGCTGAAAAGGTCTTCCTGGTGATCAAAACATCCCACAGATCAAAGATTCTTGTATCTGAGGACTAATGTTTGCCATAGTGTTCAAGAGCCAAATGCTGTAAAACTAGTTTTTTTAATTATTATTATTATTTTAATGGTGGGGGCTTCTGGATAGCTTTATTGGAAGACATTCTGTAGGAACTGAAACTATTCATTCAATACCTACGGTATATAAAAACATCTTAGAACATCTCCCTTTCCTCTCTAACCCTCCCCTTTTTATATTTTACCTATCTGTTGTTTCGTAGTTAGCTGTTTTCCTGGCTTGTTAGGCCTGTATGGATTTCTGCCACAGAACCCAGTTTCTGATTAGTTTGAAAGACTAGAAATGCCATGTTCACTTTCAGTAAATGCAGTTTCTGTCCTAAGCATCCTTTGAGCCAGCTTTCAGAGAAGCAACACCACACCTCTATGGTTTGGTCCAGAAGCCCCCGGTAGATTTGTTTAGCCCAGGGTTCTTGGGTGGGAGCTGAGCTCTGCATGACAGGTCAACGGAAGAGCAGGGTCCTTCCAGGCCGGGCCTGTGGTGGCTGCAGAAGCTCTCGACTTAACAAGGGACTTCCAAATCATTACCGGCTTTTAACCTTCAGAATGGTTTTGTCTGTTAACTGCTTGTGACGCTGGCCTCCTCTGTTGATTCTAGGACGGCGTTTTCTACACACCTGCCAGCGGTCACCTTGAAAGTTATCCTCAGCAATTGACTAAGTTTGTTGACTCAGAGCCTCTCTTGAAAGGGACGCGTCTGATCTTCAGAAAGCCCTTAGTCGACATCCTTGGGAAGCCAAGCTCCAGTCTGGGTGCTCTAGAGCAGTGGTCCCCAACCTTGAGCCTCCAGATGGACTTCAACTCCCAGAAATCCTGGCCAGCAGAGGTGATGGTGAAGGCTTCTGGGAGTTGTAGTCCAAGAACATCTGGAGGCCCAAGGTTGGGGACCACTGCTCTAGAGAGAGCCAGCTCCCATCATCAGACTCTGCACATCCTCCTGGCAGCAGGAGAGTTTGGAGCTGACTCTGTTCAAGAACCGCTGACTTTGCAAACTCCCTCCCCCCAGTGTGTGGGTCACAGGACCAACAATGCTCCATTGTTTGATTCCTTGTTGTGATCCGTGGGCTCCATGCAGCCACACACTTCTAGCTGTGAAGCGTGTGCGCAGAGAGGGATTCTCCGCACGGTGGGGCTGCTGGATGGTTCCACTGTACAGTGATTAACTATTCTCTTCACATCGAGCAAATCTGCTCTAGGCGAGAGCTTCTGTAAAAAAGTACGTGCCAGGCAGTTCTGTTCTGGAGAACTGGCTGTGTTCTGCATCTAAAATAATACAGTACATGAGGGAAGGAAGGTCCTCATGGTAACAGTTCGTTACTGGGCTTTTCAAGTGGATTCCATCCCTTTTTTAAAAAGTCTTCTGCAGACGGCAGAATCTCTATCCTGTAGTATATGAAAAGTGGCTGCGTAGGAAGTGCAGTTATTCAGCCGTGACTGCTGCTGAATATGGAGTTTGTGTTGACTTCTGAAAACTCCCATTTTTAGCCCTGCCTGAACTGGAGGTAAAGCTGCAAAGCTGAGAAAGCCAGACAGACTCTCATTGAACTCGATTGTAGCCTCTGCGATCGGCCGGGAGCTTCACTTTACCTTCATTGTGGATGTCTTTGCACGAAGCTTGGGCTCCTTCCTCTTCCAGGCTGTTGGTGTAGGTTTTAATTTTGGGAGAGACACTTTAAAAGCATGAAGTCAGAGCGGCTCCACCTCTAGGAAACGAAAGCACGTCGGTGGCTTGCCTGTCAGAGGACATGGCTCGACATCAGTTAACGTACCCCACCCTAACGGGCAGGTAGCTTGAACCCTCATCACATTCTTGGGAGCCCCTCTCTTTTTTGCAAGGGCTATTCCATGACTGGTTTGCATCCCATTCCCCTCCATGGCTTTCTGCTTTCACAGGGAAGCTGGCAGCCGAAGCACAGAAGGTGAGCTGAGTTGCTATTCATGCGTGCAGACTGGAGACTTCTTGCCTGTATGCGGGGCAGCACAGCTGAAACACAAACTGGGTGTTACAGGTAGCTGCCGGCACCTGGGACCCGGGGGCAAGAAGCAGGTCCCTGCAGGAAGAACCATACTGGATTTCCAGACTGCAAGCAGCCTAACAAGACGCACCTGGCATCTTCCGAGTCTGCCTGCGTCAGGCTGAATGTTCTAATACATCTGAAGTTAAGAAACAATCACAGTATGCCTTAGTGGAGCCTTACGGTCTCCCTGGCTTTGTTTGAGAAAATTACTGTATTTACCAAAATTACCCCGTGAGCCGGCAAAATGTAGCCGATAGGATGTCGGACTAGGCGTTAGGATGGGTTCACATCCCATTGCCCAGCCGTAGAAGCTCAGTGAGGAGATGGGCAACGGTAAACCACATTGTTCCCCAAACATCTGACAAAACCTAAGGTTGGAAGGAACTTACTGATTGCATCTTCTCCAGGGAACTCACACATGTCAGGAAAAACTTCCTAACTGTTAGAGCAGTACGACAGTGGAAGCGATGATTTGGGAGGTGGCAAGCACTGTAACACTGGAGGCCTTCGAGAGAAACTCAGACAACCCTCTGTCTCATCTGCTTGGATTTGGATTCCTGCCTTGAGCTGGGGGTTGGACTGGATGGCCTTAGAGGTCCCTTCCGGCTTCACTCTTTTACGATTCTCTGATCTATGATAACAGTTCTCCTCTCCTCCTCGTTTTATCTGCAGCACCACTCTTTCGAATTAGGCTGGGCTCAGAAGGAGTAACCGAGCCAATCCAGCAAACAAGCCCATGGCTGATTGGGGTTTTGTACCCCACCTCCACCAGTCAGTTGCACCTTTTCTTCAGAAGTCCACAAATGGCTGCAAAAATCATTGGCTGGGCTCCGTATTTCCAGGAGCCGCCCCTCTGTTACCTGTTTCCGTATTGTCTTGTATGATTTTAGGCCATGCATCAAAGGCTTCCCCCCCCCTTTTTTTAGTCCTTAAGCGTTGTGTCTCCTCCGTCGTACCCCATTTTTCTGCTCTTCCCTGTTGTTTCCCTTCTCAGACCTCTGCTCTTGGCTTCTCATTCAAAACCTCCCAAATCTTTGGGTCCAGTCCTGCCAAATGTCCCCGCCGCAGCTGCTGTTGGCACTGCCTTGTGGGCAGAGTAAACCATCTATGGGCGTCTCTATTCTTTTTAGTAAAGCTCTGCCTGCCACCCCCTATTCCACTGCGCAGGCTGCCTTTTCCAACAAATTTTAGTGCCTGTTCTATGGCCAGGGGCAGTTTCACTGATCCTGCAGGTCTGAAGGGGCTCCTTGTGGAGAGAGGATGGTTCCCCAGCACGTGGGTGGGTGGGATTTATGTTCTTAACTGGTTTGTTTGTTTAGAGAGAGGTTGGGAGACTTGACTCCCCATGAACTCTTACCCCCAGGGGCCAAGCAGTCTGGAGCTTCTGGGGAGTGGACACCCCAAATACCTGGAGGACCAGAAGGCTCCTTGACTTGAAGCCCTTGGCCGGGAGGGCTCCCACATGTGCTTTGAAGAGTCCAGACTCTTACGGTCCAAAAGCCATGACACAGAAGGGAGAAGCGATTCAGACGGAGGAGGAAAATGCTCGAGCAGGGCCACTAGCTTCTGAAGCTGAAACATGTTCTGCTTTCTGTTTCAGGCTCATATTAAATTTCCTATGGACTACCCCTATTCACCACCTACCTTCAGATTCCTGACCAAAATGTGGCATCCCAACATTTATGAGGTAGGTGCTTGGGGGCATGTCTCCCTGGGAAACATCTTAGAGTGGACTGTAAGCTGCTGAGTTGGTTGCCTTCTCCTCTTGCTTCTGCACCCCCACCCCTGTTTTATCTCTGTCCCCATGAAGGCTGAAACGTGGTTACCGGCTGCAGATAGAGAGTAGGCTGTCTAAAGTAGACCTTGCTATCTGTCCCAGCAGGAAAGAATGGGTGGCGTGTGGGGCAACATGAGATTTATTTTTTTTGGGGGGGGGGAGGTTATGGCCACTTCCTCCTCTATCGCGTGGGATCTCACAACTGGCTTGAAGGCTTTGACCAGTCAGGGCCATGAAGCCCCTCTCACCAATAATGGCCATGAAGCCCCTGCATGTCCGTGGAGGAGACTGCAAGGTAGAGGGATGCAGATTTGTAGTGTTGGACAACAGCTCCCTGAATCCCCAGCTCTCGGCACGGTTGCGTAGGGAATTCTTGGAGCCCTAGTCCTAAACCACAAATCGTACACACCACAACCTGCGGTGTGACTCTCTACAAGGTATTCCTGTGGGCTTTCCACATTTTTAACACTAGGAAAAAAAACGGCTGGTAGGTATCAGATATTCTGGGGAAAGAAGAGCATGCAGTCAGGCGCGTATGGGACAGCTGATTCCTTGGGTCCTTGTTCTTTGAAGCGGTGCTAGTCCTCAGATATCCTCGGCCATCTTGCTGCCCATCCTCTACATGCCTGACCTTAATTATCTGGAAAAGTGCAGTCCCACTTATAAGGGCCCGTTGCATCGAGCAGGGCCAGCCCTGTGGGCTCTCCCTGTGGACTTCTTCCTTTTCAGCCAAAAAAGGTGTTCGTTTGGCGGCCCCGGAGGCTCAGTAAACAAGTGCAAGCCGGTGGCTGTTCCCTTTTAATGGAGACCTTTGGCTCCCCCTGCTGGAAATCATCAGAATGATTTGAATATTTCTGAATATTTCTGAAATTTATTTGTCATTGCACTCACAAGTGGGTGCAACGAAATGAGGTGCTCTTCCCCAAGGTAAAACTGGACAACACCACTACAAAAAAAAAAAAGTTGAAATATACACAACACTCACCATACAAATATAGATACCCCGTCTCTCCCAGCAATTAAAAATCCACCAAAAACGTATGACCCCGCATTTAAACTCAATACTGCACTTGGGTAGAAGCTGTTCTTGAATCTGCTTGTCCTTGCTTTCAATACCCTGAATCTCCTTCTCGATGGTAATAGTTTAAAGAGCTGATGTCCCGGATGAGAGGAGTCTTTCAGTATATTAGATACCTTCCTCTTACATCTGTTCTTATACAATTCTTCCAAAGAGAGGAGTGAACAGCCAAAGTGAGGCACTTTGATGGGAATACTCTCTCGTTTTTATGTTCCTCATTTACCAACCACAAGGGTGGAGGTGTGTCTGTGGGTCCCGGTGTGCCTGTGGCTACGTCCTTTGAATCAGACTCTGTTTAGGAAAAAACTCAGTCAAGCATAAATGTACATAAATGGCTGGGTAAGCGGATGGGGTTGGGTGGGGAACAAGCGTGCCAGCTCTGCATCCTTAAGGGTCAATTTCCTATTCAGATGCCGATTGGGGATTTGGGGGCACACGACTGACTTGCACTAGGTGATCACGTCTCTCTCTCTGTGTGTGTTTCTCTTCTCTCGGTAGAATGGAGATGTATGTATCTCAATCCTTCACCCACCTGTAGATGACCCTCAAAGTGGAGAGCTGCCATCAGAAAGGTGGAACCCCACCCAGAATGTCAGGTAAGGCTGTGCCAGAGGAGGGGGAGGGCTCTGTTCAACTTTTCCTTCCCCGCCACATCTTCGGTTTTCTTCAACCTGCAAGATGAAAAGAAGCTCAGGGCAGTCTGTGAGTCTTTGAGGCTTTCCTAAGCCCTGAGCTAAACCACGTCGTACCGGGGGGCACATCTTAAGCTTAGGGTAACTGTCAGTAGAAGTTGAAGAGAAGTCACGCTGTCGCAGAGCAGGAGATTCCCAGAAGGCTCCTCACCCCAGATGCTCAGGTGCACACACAGTTCAGGTGTTCTGTGTCTCATGAAGGCAAGCCTTTAAAAAAAATACTTTTTAATAAAGCCTGGTCAGTGGAAACAGTGTAGGTTTTCTGCAGGTGATGGCAGAATGTCTGTGCGTTGACCTCTCTTTTTTTAAAAAAAGGTTGCTCTCTTTTGATGTTGCTTCTGCTATCGACTCTTTTGGGGTGTGGGCTGCCTGTGTTTACAGGTTTTCCTGTAACACCAGATGGGGTTCAGTTTATAGCCACACCACTCCTTTGGGATGTGGTTTGCAATTCCCTGGAATCAGAAGCACAGGGACCTTTCCTTCCTCGACCCTTCGCTTCTTCAGCCTTCTCCCCGGCTGCTGCCCTGCTTTTGAGTAGACCCACCAGCAGCAGCAGCAGCAGCCAGGCATGGGAGGGCTGCCGTGCTGGTGCTGCAGGCAGTGAGTGCAATTGTTCCCTGGAAAGGAGGAAGCATTCAGAGCCTCGAGAAGGATCCTTGCAATCCTTCTTTTATGCACGCGTCAGCTCGGCTTTATTTTGTTCTGCCTCTTTGTTTGCTCTCTTTCTGAGAGCTGGCATTGTGCTTGCTTTGGTGGGGCTCGTACTGGGCCCTGTGGCATGACCTTCGTGTTATGGGTTGCCCAGCAGAATGCGAGAAGCAGAAAGGGCAGGACCGGGAGCTTCAGGATTCCTGCTCTGAGGAAAGCTTCCCTCCCACCCAGGAACATTTAGCCTGCTGGAATAAACGGCAGCCGCTCTCTGCTCGGGGTGGGTGGATGCCTTCAGACCTCTGGAGGGCTGGATTTCATTCAGCAGTGCCTTCCAAGGGAGTACACTGTGAAATCTGACCGGGCATGAGGAGTCTTGGGGTCAAAGCTCCCCCATGTTTGTGCACCCTTACATGAGTTTGGCATTCTGGGCTGCTTGATATTTTTTAGAGTGCAATCCTCATGGCTCAGAACCACAAGCAGGCTGTTGAAAGAAGAGCTTTCCTCTCGAGGAGGCCGCACACTGCAGGCACGTTCTGGCTGGCAGGGGAGAAAGGCAGAGCTGGAGTACCCTGCTGTGTGGAGGTTCTCTCTTACGCCTTCTGCCTCCCTGCGTGAGTTCCTTTTCTGGGAAGATGGTTTCGCTTGCCCTCGAGGCGTGAAAGAGGATGATAGGCGTTGGGCTGCAAGCTCTGAATTCTTGGCTAATGGACTGATTCCCGCCTGTGAGGTGGAAGAAGGGGCTCCCAGTTTCTGCTGCCCCCTGGCTCCTGCCACCCGACACCAACGGTCTACCCCGCAGGCTTTGGTATCTGACCCTCCTCTTCCTCCTGCTTTTCCTAGGACTATCCTACTGAGTGTAATTTCCTTGCTTAACGAGCCCAACACCTTCTCTCCAGCAAACGTGGATGCTTCGGTCATGTTCAGGAAATGGAGGGACAGCAAAGGAAAAGATAAAGAATATGCTGAGATCATTCGGTAAGTCTGGGAGGGAGGCTCCTCCTTCGTGAAGTGGGGGCCCCTTTCTTTCCTGGGCCAAAAACCAAGCCGTGCGTGTGTGTGCGCGCGTACATATGTACATACTGTGTGCAGGGGAACAAATGTCCTGACATTGCCTTAAAGTAAACTGAGTTTTCATTGTGCCCAGCTTGACATTTGCTGCTCTTGAGTTTTCAATGGCCCACCGATTTCTCCCAGCACTGCCTGGTCTGGTGGCGGGCACCAGCCAAGCCAGGAAGCAGATTTCCCTCCAGCCCTGAAGGTGGCGTGGACGCTGCTGACCTGGCAACCGGCTCTTTTGGGCTCCTTCATTCCTGCTCCTCCAGGAGGGGGAAAGTGGGTCTGCCGCCATGCCTTCCCTTTTCTCCTGCCCCTCCGGTCCAGGCCTTGTGGAGGCCCTGCCGTTCCCCTGGGATTGTTCTCTGAACCCCACAACGTAGTAGATGGAAGGAGGGGGGGGGAGCCATCTTCCGCTGCTCACCTTCTGCAGCTGCCGGGCCCAGGGCTGGCTGGTGGCTCTTGGGGTCTTTAAAGTGAAGGATCGCTCTGGAGCAGCCTGGGGAATGGGCGGATTTCTGGCCACAATATTGGCTTCTGTTGTCAGTGCTGGCTCCTTTTTTTCCCTTGCCTTTTTATACTCCGGGCAGCCGTGTGTGTGTGTGTGTGTGTGTTTTCCTTTTTGCCCTGGCATGCATGGGCCGGAAGAGAGGGGAGCTTACGGCTGTCTCTGTCTGCTTGCTTCCTCCAAAGTGAGGGAAGTGTGGCAAGCTTTTGGAAACTGGCGGAGTGCTGAGAAGGGGACTTTGAACAGGAAGACGCAACGCTTTCGTTGATCTCCCCTTAGATTGCTTTGGACCTCCTATTTTCATATTGTAGCTTGTTTGATTTCATTCTAATAGGGTTTTTTTTTCGTGTGTGTGTGTGTCTGACTTGGTTGGGTTACTAGAGTTTCCAGCCTAGGATATAGGGAGCAGCCGTTAACCAGTGACAGTTCAGCAAGATATATATACACATACGTGGGGGTGGGAGATGAGGTCAATACTAGCCGTCACAGCTCTTGGCCTCTGAATAAAGCGGCAGAGCAGGGCGAGTCAATTCTGAAGGGTGGCCTCCAGAGCCCTGTGCTGTCTGCCCTGCACTACTGGCCTGCCTTCTGGGCTCTCTGGGGTGATGGGCAAGGGAGAGGAGGCCTGAAGATCTGGCCTCCGGAGGCGGCCGGGTGTGTGACTGGCAGCCATGCATGTCTTTGGGCCTCCCCCCCCCTCGGAAGGGCGGCCTTTGTGGCCACCGACGCCGTGGGAGTCTGTGCTCCCTGCCGGAGGGAAGTCTGACTTGGGTGCCAGCCGCTGAGCGGGAAGGGGCGAGGCAGGAGACTCGATGGGCCTCGGGGGAGGAGGGGGGGACCTTGGACTTTTTAGAGGTGAGGCTCTTGTGTGCTAACTCTTGCCCCCCCCTTCCCCTTTGGCTTCCAGGAAACAAGTCCAGGCAACCAAGGCAGAAGCCGAAAAGGACGGTGTGAAGGTTCCCACCACGTTGGCAGAGTACTGCATCAAAACTAAAGTGCCTTCCAATGACAACAGCTCGGATTTGCTTTATGACGACTTGTACGATGACGACATTGATGATGAAGATGAGGAGGAAGAGGAGGAAGAGGATGCCGATTGTTACGATGACGATGATTCTGGCAACGAGGAGTCGTGACCGGCTCCCTCGGGGTCCCCCCCCCCGTAATGCCCTGCCCGTTTTGCCAGGAAGGAGCAGCAGTTGACCAGTGACAGTTCAGCAAAAAATATATATATACACGTGGGGAGGTGGGGGGGGAATGGGGTCAATACCAACCCAACCTGCATCTCCTGCTTTCTCCCATTGTATGGATCTCGGTCCCCCCCCCTTTCCTGCTCTCTCGGCCTCCTCGTGAGAAAGTCCTTTTTCTGCAGATTGACTCCATTCTTGCATTCTTTCCTGTCCCTTTCCTGTGGTTCTGATTCCCCCACCCCTTCCTTTTTGGGGGGAAACTAAATGGATGCTTTTCCCTCCTCAACTTCACTTTGCTCTCACCCCCCCCCCCCCCGCCAGGGGGGTACACGAAACACA